ATGTATATTTTTTTGAATATATGTATATACATATAATCATTTCCCGTAGAAATAAAAAATTCAAAACATTTCAATAAGTGTATTAGACTTGTTCAAAATATAACGGATTTTATCAAAAATATATTTGAAGACACACAGTTAAAAGTATTGAAATAGCGAATCTCAACAATTTATTTGATACATACAAAAATGTCCGATAATGAAAATAATATTAGAAAAAAGCGAGCCGTTGAAATAGAGCAAACTTTAATCATAATATAGAAATATAATAAGAAATTTATTCATTTATCAATATTAATAAAAAATACCTCTCGGTAATCTCATTTACTTCTCGATAGCCCATAATATTTACATGCCAAAGAATTTTTGCTTTAGTGTAGGTGGTAATTTCTCTAACAATGAAGTTGGATTCACCTCAACCGCAATCAACTCTTCGTCATTTAACCAATTTAAATAGACAAGATGCTGCAAATAATAAAATCATGGGATACTTGTTTTCCTTTCTATTATTTAATTAAAATATTTACTAAACATTTACTTAAAATATTTTTTTCATTGACAACATTACCTTATATTTTTTGGCAACTTGGAATGCGTGCTGAAAATGTGAGCTAGAAATTGAATTGCTATCTTCTGTACTTTCTCCATTTTCACGCTTTGGTATCTTTGCTTCTTTTTCTGGCAACTCACTGTTTTTATTGATAACATATACGCTTGAATCATCCTGCATGATTATAATATTCTCGTTGTGTCGATCAAATATAATATTTGTTATCGGGAATGGACGTGCCAACCATTGTTTTGGTATACAACTTTGCAAACTATTGGAAAACATTGTATATTGTCTTGCAGGAATATTGTATTCGACAATCTGAAAAACAATTATTGTTTGTATAATTAGTACCAAGAACATCTCAATATTTTGGAACATTGAAAAAAGCATTAATTGTGCTCATTTCATGATATTAATTTTGAAATTGCCATTTTGATTCTCCAATTTAGATTGTATGATTGTTATTGATTTATGATGATTTAGTATGATTTTTAATATAGTACCTCATAGTATATGTTAAAAGTTAATATTGCCCATATACATCAAGATGATGAACTATAAGAGAAGATTTTATAAAGTCCATATAAACGAATACTAAGATTATAAAAGCAATTACGTGTAAAATCGCTGCGTTAAAATAAAACTGCAATAATATGTGCAAGTCATTAATGTTGTATAGCATCTTACGATAGTGCATTATACGAGTACAATATTAGACTCGAACATACAGAGAGAATCCGCGTATTACGTAATTTAAAAATTATTAAATGTTATATATGATATGCTATATTCTCACCTTATGATCGGAATATACTATGACCAGATTGAGCGTGCCTTTTTGCACAGCAATGGCCGTCGCTGGGCAACTGTATTTAGGTAATCGCCATGATTTCAATGATTCCGCTGTTACACCGTTGCCGATGAAATACACAGCGATTCCGCATTTCCGATCCGTACATATAAGATATTTATTGTCTGGAGAGAAGCATACGAGACTGACGTTTATAATGGACTCCTTTGTCGTGTAAAACGAACCGATTAATCTCAAACTCTTCTTCTCCACCCTAAACAGCGTCACAGTATTTTCATTGCCGTCATTGTTAATAGCGATGAATAATTTGCCGTTCGGACTGAACAGCATCTTTTGTATTCGATTCATGGATAAATCGGTGTCGTTTCTAGACAATTGGGCGTCTCCTTCGACCACATCAAAGTTGAAAACTCTGACATGAGTGTCTGTCGAGTACACAATCGTTTTGGAATCCTTATTAATGGCACAGGAGATTATGCTTTCATTACCCTTTGTTTGTAATTGTAATAGTTTTGTAGGTTCTTCATCCAACTGATGCAGCATTGACGAGCGCACTAATTCTGGGGGGTCTTTAGTGACTGAACCAAGTCGCCATAACTCCAAATAATTTGTGTAACGTAACAGAATACATCTAGATTTTCGACAAATTGTAGCATAGAATGATTGTAATGGAGGATATTTTACAAGATTTTTTGGTGGATAACTTGACACAGCAAGGTACCCATCTACTCCAGCTGAATAGAGTTTTCCATTGGCTTCTAGAAGTGCTCTGACATCATGCATATGTAACCTCCTCTCGATTCCCTTTACCCATTGAAATTTTCCACTTGATTTTAGGGTAACTTTGCAAAAACTCCTTACTACTGGATCCACACCTGCACAATATACAACATTCATATCGTGCGACAAGGTGATAGCTAATATATCAGCTGTATGACTTTCATGCGATTCTATCAGTACTCCTACATGAGGATCCCAGAAGCATAAAAAGCCATGAGAGTCACCAGAGATTATTATGTTGTCGTCAGTGACAGCAAGGCACCAAACTATTGTATTTTTCCTGATGTTACTTTTAAATGTCGTCATTTTATGTATTGCATGTCCAGATATGGCATTCCATACTCTGACAGTATCTGTGGAACCTGTATAAATCATCTCGCCAGTATTGTCCCATTTAATGCACAAAATTCTTCCTTTTTGCTTATCAAATATTCTCTCATAAATCAATTTATCCTTATATACGGTAAAAGTATTGATATATCCGTCCTCCGTACCAACAGCCAAGCGAGTTTTCTCATGATTCACATCCATACACCAAGCTGCGCCTCCTATCACCATAACTTCATATTTGATTCCCAGTGTCATTAAGTCATATTCTATTACTGCACCTTGTAAACCAGTCGAGAACAGTCTCGGACCGATCCAGAGTATGCTTTCCACTGAGTTCTCGGCGTGAGCGGCTATAGTATACTCGACAAACGGTGCATTCTCGACATTCCATATTTCTATGGAGTTATCGTTTCTTTAAAAAAAAAAAGAAAAAATTAGAAAAATGATTATAACAAATATTTACACGTAAAAATAATGCGTTTATTATATAAATATTATATAGTAATAAATGTTGACTAACCTGGCGAGAGCTAGCTTTTTGGTTTTCGGTTCGTGACATAAACAAGTCACGGATTTCGGTTCCGGACTGTAAAATCTTATATTATGTATACGATATGAAGCCATAATTTATATATTATATTATTGTGTAATAGCCTTCTTGGCTATTAAGCGGTTATTTGAATTAACCGCAGATAGTTAAGGATGCGTAGAAAGTCGGGAGATGCCGGGAAAAAGGCTAACGGAAAGGATTGTTCTTGAGAATGATGATCACCAGAAAATACTCCGTGGCTGGTGAATAACTTCAAATATAAATATATTCTACCAAATGCACAAACGGATACAAATCTCTTCGTATCTAGTCGACGAACAGCCAATCACACTTGTACTTGCCGCTGCGCGCGCAACCTACAAAGCCTCTAACCCACCTACCATATAACACTAGGTTAAGGTGTAACCTTACAATTGTTAACAACCACAACAGTCACGCACGTGGAGTAAATTCGATAAGAACTCCAGCATTTTTATTGGTTAGCAGAGAGAAAAACATGTGAGAGGCCATGGCGTACAGTAGCGCCATCTATTAGGAATTCAAAACACGTATCCGCATCAGAGAAAAACCTGAGAGAGGCCACGTCGCCATTTTCCGAAAAAAGCTTTTTCTAATTGGTACAGTAGCGTCAACTAGATTCATTTTAAAGATGGCGAAACTAAATGGCCAGATTCACTTTTCGGTGCCACGGTAAAACAGCCGGTTGGTGCATGTCTGTGCTAAATCCATAATTACGTGGATCAAAATTGTAGAGAAATATTATGGATTTATTAATGTTTTTTTTATTAATGTTTAAGTGCGCGTGATGTTTTGTCATTCTAGTATAGTATATATACTACGGACATAATAAGTTATTATTGAAGTATTTTTATATGTATATGCGCATATAAAATGAAATAAATTTTCTTCATAATTTTTTCCTAATCTTTAAATACAATGTGTAGAAAATATTTATAATAAATTGCTTTCACTTCTTCTTTATTCTTGGAACAAAAGTATTAAGCATTTTAAACAATATCAAATTATGCTTTTCATTTATAATAGTTTTTTATTATTAATTAATTTATTAATAATTATATTATTTAATTAATTTTTAGAACTCGAAGACATTGAAATGTTTGTGGAAATGTGCGTTTTAGCAAAAACCTCGCTGAAAGTTCGCGACGATGTACCCTTCAACGGTGGCGCATCACTGAATATTCTAAACAAAACGGCCGATTAATACGGTTGCGTTTGTCTGACTGTTGAGATAGGAGCTGGAAATGTTCGACCGGCCAAAATCTCGAGGAAAACGACGTTGCTCTACCTCTTGGTTGCCGACACCGTTCGCGTTTTCGTGGATAGAGCTAAAAAATCCTCCTACGACTCGAACCGCCGGGAATTCACGAGGAACGAGTGTTTACGCGAGATCTCTGTGGATGCGGCAAGAAGTAGAGACCGGGTGGACAATTGCTCGGTCAATGACTCCGGTCGACCCATCGATTTATCGGAGATAATCAACGCAAGCGATAACGTACTCTTTCGTTATGCTACATGCGAGGGAGAGAGAACGTAAGGGGCACGGAACAAACGTATGTCCTTTTCTATGTGCACCTTGGTCACCACTCCTCAACACTCAGTCTAGATATACTATGTCTATGGTTTCTTTAGTCATTCCTCCGCCCACCCTCCTTCCTGATGATCGTTTATATAATTATAACGTTCGACAAACAGTTACCGCGATCATTTTGAAGTAGAACGAGCTTAATAGTGAACGCGAGGAAAATGGAAACTGTGTTATACATTTCGATTTTTCTCTCATTGATATTTCCAATTTGGCCGTTTGAAACTGACCTTCCGAGCAGTCGCGACGAAGGATACGCTCATATATGTCGACAACCTCAGAACAATGAACGTAATTTAGAATGGAATTGGTGGAACTCGTTTGTCCGATGCAAAGAGGGAGATTTTTTTGCGTATCGATGTCCGTCTGGCACATATTTCCTGGAATTTTTGGAACAGTGCGTCCCGCTCCCGAGAGGCGAGATCTTTCCCAATAAATTATCTGACTCAATACGTCGAGGACGCAACAGAGCCAGGCCGTGCAAACCGTGTCCCTCGTCGTGCGACGGAGACGTGTGCAGCACACCCCCGTCGAGAGACGACGGCAAGAGCACTACGGCGGTGAACGACCGGAACGACACGACTCCGACGACTACAGCGACCTCGAGCACGACCTCTAGCACGATCACGACCACGACCACAACCACGGAAAATCCGCTGTACCAATGTCCGAAGGAAGTCGTCGACTATCCGGTCAACATCGCGCATCCGTGCGGTTGTCGAAAGTATCAGGTGTGCGAGAATGGGGTGAAGAGAATCGCATTCTGCAAGAAGGGCTACCTGTACGACGCGCCGCGCCGAATGTGCAACTATGAGAGGGCGGTGAAGTGTCCGCACGCGAATCCCTGTGACGACGAGGTCGACTCCTTTAGCCTGTACAACGCGGAATGCGGCGATCTGGACCATCCGCGCAACTATCAATTCCAGACGCTCTATCGCGACATGTACGCCTCGTGCACTGACGCCAACGTCGCCGAAGTCGTGTTCTGCCCGGACGGTCAATACTTCAACGCGGATGTGGAGTTCTGCCTACAAGTTCCCGGAAATCGTATGATCGATTGGGGAAATTTGGACGATGGAACAAGCACCGCGAACCGATGTCGTTATTGTTATCCTACTACTTACGATAACAATGGCGAGTAGAATGAGTGAGTTTGTTTATATCAATCTTTATTAACTTCAGCTTTTGCCAAGAAGTGGATTTGGTTTACAAAATTCCTTATTTATTCATGCCTTTCATATCCACACTCATTCCTCTTATTCTTCTAAAACTAACTTATTTACACCTGCCTTTTTCTATTTTCTCTAATTTTATCTTTGTCTTTCCAAAGTTTACACAATATCCTCCCTTTCGTGTTATCTATCTCATTGTTCCATATTCTATCCTCTATTTCTTTATAATTCCTACCTAAAATTTTAAACCAATCTTTAGTCGTAACACAGTCTTTTACATAATGACTTATACTATTTTCGCTTATACCACAAAATACACATGTTGTCTCCCCTTTTTCTAATCGATACTTATTCCTATCTTCCATATTTCCGCATTTTAGTCTTAACAATGCCCTTACATTATCTCCTATATTGTCCTTATCTGTCCCTACTTTTCTCAGATACTTTGGCCCTTCCAACCTTGTTTCCAGCTCCCTATATTTCTTATTGTATCTGGCTTCCCTTATTCTACTTTTTTCAACCTGCCTTTGCACTTCCCAATCCCTATTTTTACCCTTCCTAGATCTCCTCCTTCCCTTCTTATATTCTCCAAAGCTTTGATGCACCACCTATTTCTATTATAATATTCTTTCCTCTCTCTACTGTACATATCTTCCCACCGGATGAGTTTGTTTATTTCAACCTGCCTTTCCACTTCCCAATTCCTATTTTTTACCCTTCCTAGATCCCCTCCTTCCCTTCTTATATTCTCCAAAGCTTTGACGCACCACCTATTTCTATTATAATATTCTTTCCTCTCTCTACTGTACATATCTTCCCACCGGATGAGTTTGTTTATATAGATGCAAGAAATATTGTAAAGCGGCAAATACGACCCATTATTCTCGACACGGGTTATTCACGTGATCACGAGATGTAACGCATGTGAATGTGTATAAATAATAGCTGATAAAGAGAACCACTTAAGTTAGATTGATTTTATCAAGTTTATAAGCATCGCATTTCTTGTTCCCCTTCAATAATCGATTATTCTTCTCTTGTATTTCTTGCCGCAAAGACGGAATTTCCGATTCAAAAAAATATGCAAAACAATATGCATTTTGGCCGAGAGGCTATTCATTCAGGAAATCATTGAAGCACTCTGGTATAAAATCAAAATTGAAATCATGAGAAATCGGTTAAAATTAGAAAAAAATCTTTCGAAATCGAAGTCACGAAAATATCATTGAAATAACTTGAAATCAGAACAAAATCCCTGAACTTTTGAAATCAATATGAAATCACGTAGAATCAGAAATGATTTCAGAAATTACTGATTGGATTGTATAAAATCACATTAAATCACATGGTTTTCTAATTACTTGAAGTATTCAAGAAATCCATAAAGTCATTTGAAATCGACTTCAATCTGAAATCACTTGTTCATCGCAATCACTAGTGTATAGCCCCTCGATTTTGGCATAATATTCGTCTTTCTCGCCGTATCTTCGATGTCGATCAAAGAAATTCAAGATAAGTTCTAATAGTTATTTTTTCGTGTACATAATCTAATCTTTATTCGCATACGTAATAAAGATGCTATTATTGATGATAACAATGACGATGATAATGGGGAAGAACGCTTAAGGTCGCGAAGTTTTACAGTTTTACACCGTTATAGAATTTGCTAATCACTATTTTTATCGATATAAAGAACGTAACTCTCGAGTTTTAATATTAAAACGTTGCGTTAAGAATACGGTTGTTTATGATCCGATGATTTTATCGTGTCTGCCGAACATCATGATTTGCCACACTACTCGCAACGTCGCTCTTCTTGCAGGAGCAGCAGAGACAAAAGATACATCTTTCTCACAGATGAATGACATATCGACTACATCAATGAGTAATTCATCAGATCTCCAACCATCGACGGTAACTATATTTCACGAAATGTTTCGAGAACGAAGGAGAGCGAATCTTCCCCCAGAGGCAGCTAACCAACAACAGCAACAGCGTGTAAAAGGCGACGATGAAAAGAATCCTGAAGATGAGACTATTCTTTTGTCAGACTAATGAATTCTTTACGCTTGCGAATTTTATATTGGTTATTTCAACAACAAAACAACAATCTTGAACATTTTGTGAATTCTCACTTCGATAGTGAGTAATTATGATGCAGAATTATAATATTTGTCGTCTCTAAGTTTGTTAATTTTACTGGGTGATGGTAACAATTAAAATAAAATAGTAAAGAATATTCATAATTATTCTCTTTCTCTCTCACATACATACAGGGTGTCCCATTTTAATATCCCACCCAAAACATGAAAAAAATGTTTCAGACAAAAGTTGTATGGTTTCGAGGGGGCCACATGATAAAAATATGGATTTGACCTTGAGTGACCTTTTCAAAGTGAGGTCAATGTGATCGATGTTTTCTTAAATGGAAACCCCCATTTTTTATTGCATATTCTTATAGCTTATCTCGAGAGCTTTTCAAAACACTATAATAAAGTATTTTTTCATTAAGTACTTTTTGAGTTATTTTATATTTTAATCTGACA